ATCCTTATCGCGATCAAAGTTTACTTACAGTCCCTTGGGGTGCTCTGCTGGTATCACTGGTATTGGATTCGTTTATGATACAGGTACCGAAACCATATGGGGTTCTACCCACGACGCTGCTTCACTGGCATTTTTTCTCAACGCAAATTACAGCCTACAAGATCGATTCTTTGGTCTGTCAATTACAGGTTGAGTTACTTTTCTCTGCAAATTATCTCTCTATATGCTCTAACATAATCTTGTAGTTCACTACCAACATTGGTAGAACAAGTAATGTCTTTCCTCCACTATCGATAGATGCAATTGTATCATACGAGTGTATCGAGTATAAGGTTTTGAATGGTGGATATATTATCGGATTCTGCGGTTGTTTTAGGGTTTGCTACTCTCTAAATATCTTTGATCACAACTACACAAGCTCATCTCGATTACAGGCCCCTTCCAGTGAGCTGCACTGCTTTGGAGTCGTACCAACGACCTCAGTAACATCTTCCAAGATTCTTTCGAAAACCTTTGTTACCAAGTTGGCTCTTGAGGGTTAACCCCAGGATATGCCCCTCGGTGGAATTAAGAATCATGGTCAATACCAGTCTCGTGTACCTTTAGGGAAGAAATATCTGTCAGTTCAAGCATCTATTAACCCAACGATGTCGAAGTACCGCCGCGCTGGGCAGGTTACTGGCCTCCTGTTCCGCTCAAACAACGATCCAAGCCATCCTGACCTGCTTGGCCAATGGACAGGAGCTGGCACTACGTATAATCTGGAAGAAGGCGAGCAAATCGTGGACTTGGAAGTTACAACGGTCAAACCCATTTGCAAACAAATGTCCCGGTCTTGTCTGTCACAAGTTGAAGGCATAACAATAATGACAAATCGTAGGATGATTAAATGGGGTCCAAGCATGTGGGAGGGTTGTGAACAAGAACTTCAAGGTGTATATCATTATAAGAGTGTGATGGCAGAGGCTATTTGGGAATTCAACGCTATGTTTGACCGTGTACTCTGTGTCCATCAATAGAGGATTAGGCGGGGGCGAAATGCCAAAAGCAGACCAAAAGAAGAAAAGGTGGTATCAAAAAAAGGAATTCGAAAAGTGCAAAAATGAAGCGAAACTTCAAAAAACATACAACAGTGGGGATTCGCTGGTGGTCACCCATCCAACTACTAATCCACCGATCTGAAATTTATATATAGCAAAGCGAACGGAATGTTTAATTCTCCTTCGTCTACTATACATCGATCTAAATCGAGAAACCGAATTTCGATTTTGGGATATCGAAGCAAATCACATAATCCACTTCGAATCATTCATTAGATCAATATTTGAGTATTATATAATATTATCTATTAAGCTGACGTTTAGATAATCTGTTCTAGATATTTTTTCCTGTTTCCCAACTACAATATAATGTATCTACTAGTATATTTCTATTAAAAGAATACTAGTAAATACGATTCTTTATTATATCTAATAGATTCGTAAAATGAAGTGTAATTCAATTGTACTTTAGATTATATAATTATATATATATATATAATTATACTATTTTTAGAAATATACATTTATAAAACCCTCTTCTGATCGGTCATAAGTAAAGCGCGAAACTAGAGCGACCTTAAGAATGTTTAAGAATTGTTCCTCAAGGTGGAAAGAGCCGTTCATAAGATTATCAAATTACCTTTGCTGTAGCCAACAGGAAAGGAAACATCGACTGAGAATTGTTTTTGCTCGGATTGGATTTTTGAGCGGCAAGGAGGACTTTCCTCGGCCCATTTATTGTCGCCAATCACTTTGTTTTATCGTCATAAACTTCTTTTCTAACGCGGCCCGAATCAGTTCGCTCCTGTCTAACCCATACGTAGGTCGTAGGAAAGGTATAAGTACCACCCAATGCTTCCTTTTCCCTTCCCTTCCATATCTCTTCTCTTTTACATCCATCATCATTCCACTCGCCAACACCACATTTCCACTCATGTCACTAGTTTCAATCCAATCTTTCTGATTTCTATATTTCTATAGATGTTGTCTTTTTCCTCCAAATCTTATCCTCGACTTTCCTTGGTCTTGTCCATTCTTGCTGCTATTCGCAGCAGCGAGTAAAAATTCTGCTTAACTTAAAGGTAGGGGTGTCTTTTTCCGAGTTTTACTGCATTGTATGGTGACAGCGTGGCGGTCAATGGAGACGTCCATTTGGTTATGGGTTCGACTCCCTGAGGCCTGCATTAACGTTTAGTTTGGAATTCGACCTTCTGTACTCCACTACAGTCGTTCAGCTTGCTGGACCAATCCTACTCAGTTGACGGGCTGACCCCCTTTTCTTTCTGTTCTAGAACCTTGTCCGTCGTTTTCAAGCTCCGACTACTCTTGCTATTGTCGACTTTCCTTTTCCAATAGAGTGCATCCTACCAATCTTCGCAGCCTGATCGGCTTTTACGTTCCCTTCAATTCCTGAATGTCCAGGAACATATCGTAACTCGACCTCAACCTCGAGTACGCTTAAAGCTTCGGACGCAATAATCCCTGGCACAATCAATTGCTCTGCATAGGCAAGTCTTTCCAGTCCTACCAATGAACTTCGAAATCGAGCAAAAAATCCTAGTGCAGAAGCACAATCGCTATAGATAACAATGTTACTCGGCTTCCGTTCAGCCCCTTGGTTACGACAAATGTCCCATGCTATTTCGAGAGCTCTCACGATAGCATACATCTCGAGAAGATACGTCGAGATGTGGCCTCGAATACGCCAAGAAAGATCGTTCCATACATACTTAGAGGAATGGTAAGCAATGCCTATTCCACAATCAGAATGCTCGTTGCGAGAACCATCAGTCCAGAGAACTAATCTGTCCTCATCCAAGTAGGAATCGACTTCTTTTGCTGCGATAGTGAGTGCAGTTTCTCTGGGCTCAATGACAACGACGCCTTTGAAAAGCTTAGTCTTCAGATATCGCTTGGTTTTGCGTCGTAGGGAAGATTTTCGCAAATGGCCGCGGATCGGTTTCGGTGCCACCAGACTGCCTATGGTTGACTCGCCACAACCAACACTATGCGTATCAAGTGAAGTTTGCTTGTTGGTACCAGAATCTTTTGACAATTGTTGAGCATTCTGCGCCTCTTTTTTGTTCTGTAAAATACCTTGCTGTCGTTCATGTTCCCTTCGGGCTTTTCGAGCAATACGAGATGGTCGGACCATTCTGTGGGTAACTGGAGAGAACCAAGCTGGTGCTTTGTATTTAAATATTGGGATCTTGGTCAGATATGTCGTGAAACAGAGCTCTCTTATGATGAGAATTTATTGTCCGTTTGAGAGAATGTGTCCAAATGAGTATGTGATTAATGTGATATACTGACTCTTCCGTTTGTAAATAAGTTGTATGTAATATTTTGGTGTGGGAAGAATATTGGTTCCCATGTAATCTTAGAATTTTGGTATACGATTTGTATATTCTTATTTATTTGATAGTCAATTTGAGGTGTAAATCAATTGATGTTTTTGATTATATCGATGAGTATTAATTGAGGCGCTGTCTTATAAATGGAAGATGAAATGTAAAAATGAGAGATGAATTATGAATTTGAAAGAATGTGTGTGAGAAGATAGGTTGTATAGTAACCATACTACTTATTTAGTGAGGGTTGAACTACCGGTAGTTCTATAGTAGTATAGTTCTGTAGTAGTAGACAATTTAGTAAGTAAACGAGGCTCAAGTTCGTTAAAAACACGTGATGAATAACACGTGCTTTCGTGTTTTCTACATATGTTCTTGTGCTATTAGCCAATTTTTTCGCGGTGAAGCTACTAATTGAAGCTCCTTAATTGATGCAAGAATACACTTGATTGTCGCAAACTCCATTTTTGACCTTAAATAGAACATTTCGTTGGATGAGTAGAATGCTGACTAACATTCGTGCTTAATCGTTCATAACATCAATCATCAATTTCTGAGTGCCGAATCCACTATATTTTGACGAATAACCGTTTTATTAAAATATAAATTCGAATTCAAAGAATCGTCGGTATCAGAGGGCAAGGAGATAGTCCAATCCTTACCAGTCTATGATCGTATATAGCGGAAGGAGGATAACTCGATAATATATATCAATATACAAATGTACGTTGTACTGATTTTGAAGCAAACGAGACTGGCGTTCGTAAGCCTATTAGGAACCTTGGTCTTTCAGCATGAATATTTATTGATGGGTAATACTACAGAGAAACTGATTCACCAATTCCATCAATTAGTACTGATATAATATTGTGGTGAATTCAATACAACTCAATGTTCATAGCTGACAACCTCACAGCGAATTCACTTATCCTTATCCCCACCTTACCACTCATACAAAAATGTTTGCAGTTGACCATGTTCGTAGACGAACCAATCATATCCCTGTCTTTGTAGCACATACAAGGGTTATCTGATATCTACCCACATATACGAAGTACATCCATATATACATTCAAAAATCTATTATAAAATAAATATAAAAAGAAAGCAGTTGAATATTGTAATGAATATTGTGATGGCTTTACAGAGGCTGTAAATTTGTAACAGGATTTTTGAAAATACTATCTATGTGAAAATGAATTTTGTATAGAAATTATATAGTACTAAGTTAATAGTTGTAGATAAGATACATATCGATAAATTACCCCGGGCCCTTCGTTATTTATCATCACCTTAAGCACTCACCCAAACTTTCCAACCATTATAATTTCTCTCCCCCTAACCAAATCAACCAATCATTTCAGCTATCCCAACATCAAAGAACACCCACGCACCCACCCAAAAAGACTCTCAAGGTATATATATATGCACACTCTCTACAAAAACCATCCACCTACCTCTCCAAACCAAACCTAGCCAGCTCACTCAAAAAAAACCTCAACTCTACATCTCCCTCCCTATATCTTCCTACATCCTCCCAACCATCCCCACAAACCATCCCAATCACCCAATCACCCAATCACCCCTTATTCCCCAAGCAAAAAAAATCTGATCACTGGCGGTCTCGAACCGCCGACCTTGGCGTTTGCAATCGCTTCCAAAGAATAAAGAAGATATTAGCACCACGCTCTAACCAACTGAGCTAAGCGACCGGTTTGGGGGTTTGATTTGTTGATTTGTTGGGACTGCGGGTTTGTAAAAGGGATTGTGAGGGGAAAGAAGAGGAAAGGGGAGGGGATGGGAATGGGAACGGGAATGAGGAGGATAGCGGGAGCGGGAGTTGAGGGACAAAGAAAGAAAAGAAAAAACTAATATATATTCACACCTATATCTATAAATACATTAGGACCAGCTATGAAATCAAGTCTTGAACTTCTAAATTCTATATTCTAAATCCTTATCTATACTAAAGTGATTCTAAAAGCGCATACATAATTCTGTACTATTTTGAGTACCTCGAATAGTTGCATTGCAATTGGTAAATACTCTGTTTACTATCAATTGAATATAAGAATTTATTTTAGATCTCATTCATACACCTATTTAGACTTTATCTAGCATACGCATACCATATCTCTCTTTCTTTCTTTCTTCCAATAGCTATATCCAGATCCTCACTCTCACTCTCGATATCAAATCCCATGCCATCCCACAGCACCAAAACCCCCCAAAAGCCCAATGAAATCAAAAATCAAAAATCATCAATTATATAAATTTATTTATTTATTCATACGTTATTTATGTAATCATCACACCATTAACAGTTTAATATACAAAAAAGAAAAAAGGTCATCAAGCATGACCGACCGACGTTCCGATCCCCATTCGACTCCCAGTACGCGCCCATGACACCCATCCCATATAGAATTTTTTCACAAAAGAATCCACCCATGAAAACCATCCTATCCCGCATCCCGCATCCCGCATATCGCATATCGCATTCGCATCCCGCATTCGCTTCTTGCTCTGGCTTGTTTTTCGCTTTTCCCAAACAAAACCCCGCAACGCAAAGCAATGCTATCTATATTACATCTTATTTCTGGTTATCCGCGCAAGACCATGCTCCATGAGAAGAAGACGTATCAGCATGCATTTGATAACCACTAGCATACAAACCCGCAAAACAAATAATACAAGCCAAAATAATCAACGTCAAATTAAGAGCGCTCAAAGAGATTTTCTTAATACCCCGTGTGCATGTTCCCCAGTTGAGATAAAACCAACAGATACCCGGGAGACCGTAAGAGAACCAAGAGGCGAACAGAGCAGAGATGAAACCGAGGAGGTCGGAGAAGACGGGAATGGATTCGGCGATGATCCAGGCGATGGTCCATGTTCCGACCGCAAGACCAATCCAGGTTCCTGTGGCGACCCAGCCTCTGCTGTTCAGGTACTTGGTTCCGGAGAATACACGAAGGTAGACATATTTGACAGTGACGTGTGCGAAGATAACTCCGGCGATAATGATGGTTGGTAATGCGATTCCCCATGCAATTTTACGAATGATGGGAGAATTGCTGTTAAGAGCCGGACTAGCAACATCCTCGCCAGCATATCTGTAGATGACGAGAGCGGCGACGACGTACAAACTAATGTCGACCGTTTGGAGGAGAATGAGAGACTTGGGGAATTCCCTGGGGTCGCGGAGTTCGGCAATGAAGCTGACCCATGCGACGTGTCCACCATATGCGAAAACGATGTTGGAGATGCTGTTGAAAGCAGATGGGAATGTGGGTGAGTAAGTTCCTTTCATGGAGCCGGATGCTGCTTGTGGGGAAACGCCCAATGCAATCATGGTGAGCATAACGGCGGAGAGAATACTGGTAAATGCTATGAGATTGGTTAGTATCTTTCGATAATAGAGACTTGAGAAAACATACAGATGATGGACAAGAATGAGACATTCTTAAGAGTTCTGTTTAAGGAGAGCAAGCTGAAGACGACCAATCCAACGATACCCCAGATAATGGTACAGGTACCATGATTCGTGAGAACGTTCATGGCAATTGTAAAAGTCAAAAGATGCGATGCCATACTGAAAATACAATAGATGACATAAGCAGCACCAAAGATTTCTCGTCCCCAGGCTCCTAACATGACTCCACCAATGTCTCCATAAGTAACAATCTAAAAAGTGGTCAGAAACAGGGGTTCTTTTCCAATTGTGCCCATAAATCTTTACATACCTGAGGATACCGCATTTTAAATTGCCACAAGACGTAACCAGAATATGTTGTGAAGATACCGAGACCAATAATGGAAATGACACCACCGATGAGACCAACTTTGGCCAAAACCGCTGGTAGAGAAAGGATACCAAGTGAGATATTTTCAGCAATCATAACAATTGCTCCTTGCCACCAAGTCATGGTTTTGTCTGGTTAAAGTGTCAGCTCGTCTCCCCAGGAGCTAAGAGTAGAAAACCTTACATTGAACCTCTGCGCCTTCCTCATTACCAAATGCATCGAGTACCTCCGCAACTTTCATTTCCGAGGACTCATCGTCCGCCCTGATGTGACCGCGGAAATTGTTGGCGGCCGTAATATCGTCTGGCATGACTTTATTCGTATTTACCTTCTCAGCCTCCATATCTGCAAATTTATGATTCGTTCGCAAATCTATGTCTTTTTTAACAGGTCGAAATAATGTTGTCGAATCCAATTACTGTTGATGGGCGTTGGAACAAGAAGGTAGGGTTGGAGCTACCAGTTGAGGAAGGAGTGGCTGGTGTTGAATGAGAGGGAGAGGTGAGAGATGGAAAAAAAACATCAGTAAGATGTGGAAACGAGACGAAGATATGTAGGGTTTCTGGACGGGGCTAGACACCCTCAACACAGAGATAAGGCAAAGATTAACAATTGATTTCTATTTTATTCAGGTAAGTTCAATGAGGGGAATGTCGGTGCGAATGGTAAGACCATGTTAGAAGGTGGTTCCTAAGACGTAAGTGAAATTTTTTTATATGGAGTTTCATAAGTGACAGTGGACCATTTAGTCCAAATGCCCCACTGTCTAGTAATTATTATGTTTTGGCGAGGCGACGCGAACAACGGTCTCCATGATTTCAACATCATTCGATAAATTCCAACGGGATCTCGGTAGTAATCATGTACGATTTGACTGATTCAGGGTATCAAATCTGGGGTAGTGCGCGGTTCTGCATGGTCAACCTTGATCATGTTGAGATCATGCCAACAGAATGAGCTGGATTTGCTTTTCAATAGATGCAAGTGATTGAAACGGTGTCAAATGGTCAAATTGTTTGACATTCTATTTCCGAATACCGAAATCCGGAGAAGACGCCTTTAAAAATTCAATTAATGAACTTTCAAGCTTGTACCTGGCTTTTCCCGCCTTATGATGTAGATCATGTAAGTAGCCTTTACCGACAACTCCCGCAGCCTTGTCGGGCCGCTTTAGACGAGAATAACCGAAATGGTTCAACTTTTTCCATTTTTTTTTTCATTCATCATCTCCACCACTTTTTCATCTACGTATATCCCTCGTAAGGACAGGTATAAAAGTAGATGAAGACCCCGTAGATAAGAAAACGAGGCGGACGCCTTGAAATGGAATGAAAATATGACCATCTATCTTTAAGGACATGGGCAATATGGATAAATGGAGAAATGATCTCACGTTTTCCCACCCCCACACGATAATCCGCAATTTGTGTTATCTCCCCTCATTTTGGGGAATATTCGGAATCGAAGTCGACCGTTTGAAGAAAGGGGTTACTGGGAAAATTCAATCGGAAGCCACTTAGCGGATGAGCTCAATGAGGTAAGGTGTTTGTTTTCTTTCGGAAACCATACCATACCATACCATACCATACTCGTACTATGAAAAAACCAAAAAAAAACGAAAAACTTCGCATTAAATTATACTTTTCTTAGTCTAAACTTACATAGGTTATTTGAACATAAGATATTCATTTCATTCATTTCAGACGTTAGATCAGAAATGATATGACACGCTAGAAAAGCCGACGAAAAACTTTAATGACCAATGATGAAGTTTTAGAACAACGTAACATAAGCTCGTAAATTTTTAGTTGTTCGTGGCTGAGGATTTATCCTAGGCCTTCAACGGCTTTGCGCGGCCTTAGGTTCCTTTTCACCGGCAGTCCGAACTTTGTACAAATCCAAGATTTTGGTGTGGTGGACGGACTCGGATATAAATCTCAAAAGTGGGAACTTCTTCGGGCATCACTACTCCGGTATGAATCTGATGAGAAATGATGATGACGAAAAGTGAGAAGAATAACAAGAATAACAAGAATAATAAGCATGATGTCAATTTCATTGTCGTGTCGATGAGCTAGCTGATCGCATTGATCTTCCAAGTAGTAAGTAAGTACCGGTACCCCTTTAAAATTTTCAAGAGAAGGTGGTTTCAAACGAATTGACTTTGATTTTGGTTTGACGTTTGAAAAGTCATGGATTCCCTAGATATTGGAACGATTCATGAGGCAATCAATTCGTCAATGCACTGCACTCACTGATGGTGAAGATGGAGAATTATCTTCATCATGAAATCTTCTGTAGGTAAAAGCACAATTTCAATATTGATCAACGAATAGGACTGGAGCGGATATATACGTACATTACTCGATTTTATAATTTTTGAAGTCTCTCGTCTTCACGCCTTTCGCAAACATCAAATCCAATTCCTCATACGTCCTTCCTTTGGTCTCTGGAACTCTCAACCAACACCATATAAAGCATACTACCGAACAACCACCTATTCAAATATCAGTCAATAACATCCTCTTTCGATATTAATGTCGGCAAGCAAATATATTTGGTGTAACTCGATTCACCAATGCCCTTTTCATTTGGTACATTTCGTTGTTGCAATCAATGAACTTCTTGCTTACCATAGAAGAATCCTATCTTCCCTCTCCAATTCGCTTGATCCGGATTGATCATGTACGGAATTGCGACTGTCATAACTACCCCAACAAGCGCTTGCATTGCGGTAGCCACAGCAATGGTTTTTGTGCGAACTTTAGTCGCGGAAACCTCGCAGAAAATTGTATAGCAAACTGGCCCGATTGTAAGGTCGAAGATACCGTTCCAAACGATCTATATTCATGCAGAGCGGTCAATACGAGACAATGCAATCACCACGTAATGTCCATAACAGAACG